CTAAGCGTATGTTACTATCTTGCAGATTAAGAACCTTAGAAGATCGAGAAAATGTCGTTTTCTAACATGCAGATGATATCCAATCTCATTATCTCAATCACTATCGGGTACTTCCGCTAGTTATAGTTATATAGCAAACAAACAATGGTTGAGTTCACTTTGACTAAAGTTATGTGACAATAAGAGGTTGGTATTTTCCATGAAAAACGACTTGTTCGTCGTACACCCTGCTGAAAATAATTATAGTAATTAAATTTTGTTTGTTTTGCATCGTGTGTTAATGCATGAATGATATCTGAACATTTTGTGTATTCAATTACCGGAGACCGGTAGAATATCCTGATTAATGTTGAATCATTTTTAAAATAAATTCCAGGAGTTCTTCTCTTTTAGTCGAATCTCCAGTGATTCTTTATATACGATAAATTAGACATTGCTCTTAATGTCTAATCATTAGTTCATGTGAGTATGCAGTGAAAACCACATGCACTCAAATTAGGATAGCAAGAGACTGTTTTCGTACGATTATACGATAACTCGAGGTGTACGAATAACCTATTCGTAAGGCGAACTAATTATTTCATGAAAAAAACTGTCAAAAAGTCTCTGAAAATATATTAATCAAATTCTCATCTCAAACTGTCTAATAGTACATTTTTTGTTGTCTTGTCAAGAATCTATAAACGAAGCAATGTGTACAAGACATAGTACACCGGATTCTACATCGATGGAAACAATGCGTGTGGTGACGTCATTCATATTGTCGTTGAATATTAAAAAGTCTTGAAGTCAGTAGAGTGAAACATGTGAGTGCATAGAACTGGTTTGAAAATAAATTTGCTCATTCACCACACTTTATAGAAACCTTAAACAGATAGTTCTTAAGGAGAATGGCATCAAATATAGTGCGCATTTCATATCTTTCACTTCAAGCGTTTTCCTTTCAGTCTTATTACAGAAAAAAATGATCTCGGTGGATTGGTGGAAGAAAAAGTTCTAGTCATTAGTCTAAGCTTGGCGCAATGCCGTATCAAATTTTCCCAAAGAATTGAACAACTTTGTTCCATAATGCTGCAAATTCATGCTCTTTCTTTATCGAAAAATGTACAAAGACTGACCAATTGAGTTGGACAAAGTATTATCTAGTGCAGCATCGAATGACCAGAATGAATGGCTTACAAAGTCAAAATGATCATTCCACTCTTTTTTGAAACCTAGTTGCCAAGGTACAAAAGTGTCTAACCTCATTTATATCTTCTGCAATACATTTTCAAAACCAAAGTAATTGCCGAATCTGAACTTGCCATTTTAGAATAAAGCATCACGATCCTGTAGATATCATCATCAGTGAAGATTCTCATTTTAGCAGCAGGCTACCAGCTTGACCACGGAAATAATTACTTTGAAGAATAGAGACAGCATTTAAATTCGTACAAACGGAAAAAGTTATAGTGAACAGAATGATTCCATTGATGGCATAAGTAATTCTACTGCATTTGCTTTCGAATACTGCTATGTTGCCACTGTTGTTCAATCAATATTCCTATATGCTGGTAAGGAACAAGCTAAGATATCATGATTCAATCGACCCGACGAAAAAAAAACATTGAACAGGAAAGAGAAAATTGTTAATGTTTATTTCGAGTGGCTCCAAATGAATGAATTCATCAAATCGAGAATATATTTTTTCCCTACTATCTGGAAAGCAGATTACATATAGCTCTCGCAATGTCATTCATTCGTAATGTCAATGTGTACACAAACAATTCCTTCGCTGAAACAGTTTAACACTAACATCTTAAAACGATCTGATAATAACTTGTGAGCATTTTTAAACTGCGCACGATTTAGGTCGAGTTCAGTCAATGTCAGAAATGAAATGAGCCGATCTCATCTCTAGTTATAAACATGACACGGATATTTCTTTCTTATTATGAATTGCTTCATGTATTGTAATCAAATCACGACTGTTCGAAACGAGATTTTCATATTAGATTTGAGTCGTTTTTCTGCACATCAGTAGTAGAAGAGTCTTTGATAAAATCATCCATTTCAAGTCATAACGGAATATCTCATGATGAAATATTGACAGCAAACTTGTTCAAAAACTACAATCTTCAAACAGATCAAGAAATTAAGAAAAGTTCGAGTGGTGTTAAGTGCAAAAACAAAACTCTTCATTGATCTTTTCTTCAATAATTAACTTTGCTATTCAAGCTAATAATATCAGTATTTCTTCTATCTGATTCACGCAAAGTAATATAATTTTTTTTACACCTTGATGGTCTACCTTATAATAGATCTTATCACTATTTCATGTACGCAGTTGAAAAACAAGCAACTGGTATTTCTGCTATATATGCGCAATTATGTTGTCACTATAAATATATACACATACATAAATGTATGATACAATCAAAAACATTATAGCAAGAAAAAAAAGCTTATTCATACAGCAAAGAGTAATATTGACTCATCATTGACACATTGATGGAGAAAGTGATTATGCATGAAAAACGATACTAATGATAAAACATACTGATTTCGCAATGCACAGCGCTCTACTGATATTGTTTATTCATTCTTACTCATTTCTCCCGAATCATTATCGCATCATTTAGTATTATAAAGAGCACCGTCTAATTACGTATTAATATTATTTCAGCATTTAGGTCTTGCTAAGTAAATAAACAAAAAGTGTACTGTATGCACAATGATGGAACTACTATTTCGGCGGAATCATTGGAACAGTCAACTACAGAAAATCATTCAAAACAACATGATCGATCTGAAAACAAAATTACAGGACGACAGATTCGTACAGTTCTTGTTTCTTCAACAGGCTTCTTCATGGATGCCTATGATATCTTTGTTATCAACTTAGTTGTTCCCATGCTTGGCTATGTCTACTATATGGATCAAAAGAATACAGTGCCATCGGATATTCAAGGTATTCTCAAGGGTATTACAAATGTGGGTAATATTATTGGTCAGCTAGTATTCGGTTATTTGGGCGATAGTAAAGGACGTAAAAGTGTTTATGGTGTTGAACTTCTAATTATCATTATGGCTACAATTTGCTCAGCCATGGCGGGATCAGCAGCAATAGGTGTTGGTACTTTGGGTTTTCTAGGATTTTGGCGTTTCATACTGGGTATTGGGATTGGTGGTGATTATCCTATGTCAGCTACTGTATCTAGTGAATGGTCAAGTGCAGGACGACGTGGACAAATGCTTGCATTAACTTTTTCTATGCAAGGATGGGGTCAATTTTTCGGTGCACTATTCGCTGTTATTCTGTTGGCTATTTTCAAGGTTCCTATTGAAGCTAATCAAATCAATATCGATTATGTCTGGCGAATTCTGCTTGCTCTTGGAGTTGTACCTGCTGCATGTACTCTCTATTCACGTTTTCATCTACCAGAATCACCTCGCTATGCCGAACGAGTTCTCAAAGATCCTGAACTAGCAGAAATAGGTAAAGCGTACGCACTGGGAGTGCAGTCAAAAAGCTCTGCAAAGTTGGTCCCACGTGAACCTATGGCCCATACGAAAAAACTCGCCGATGATCGTCATCATTTTCGAGATTTTCGAATATACTTTTCACAATGGCGCAACTTGAAAGTTCTTATTGGCACCTGCTCAACTTGGTTCTTACTTGATATTGCATTCTATGGCCTTTCACTCAATCAATCAATTGTAATATCAGCTATTGGTTTCGCGCCAGATACAACTAAAGCGTCGCCTTGGGAAACTCTTTTTAAACAAGCAGTTGGTAATTTGATTATTTCGCTCCTTGGTGCTATTCCTGGATATTATGTTACTGTATTCACTGTCGAACATCTTGGTCGTAAGACTATTCAAATAATTGGTTTCACTATGGAAACTATTCTATTTATCATTGTTGCTGCAGCATTTCATCCATTAAAAGATCGATCTGTAGCAGCGTTTGTTGTCATATTTGTTCTTATTCAGTTTTTCTTCCAGTTCGGTGCCAATGCGACAACATTCATTATTCCAGCTGAAGTGTTTCCAACTCGATTTCGTTCCACAGCTCACGGTCTTTCAGCAGCTTGTGGGAAGGCAGGTGCTATTCTCGCAGCATTCGCTTTCAATGTACTGGTTAATCATGGAGGCAAAAATGCATTTCTGCCTCAGACACTCGGCATCTTTGCTGGTATTCAATTTATCGGTCTTCTTGCCACTATATTTTTAGTACCCGAATCGAAGGGTAAAGACTTGGATGCTTTCGAAGACAACGAAGCAGAATGGCGACCAGAAGCTCAGAAGGGGGAGCATCACGTCGACGAACTCGAAATACATTTTTGATTTTCTTGTCTTGAATTGATATCAAATAAATATCAATGAGATTAGAGATAGTCTCAATTGTACACAGTAACAGCAACATTCTCTTTTATATATGGAACTAGCAGAAATCTCGAGAGTACTGACTAGGCAGCAGACGACATTACTATCTAATTTTCATAGAAAAGCTTTGAAACGAGAAAATTTATTGAGAATATTTACGAAAGGCTAATTACGGTCTTCATTTGACACTTATCGAGCAACCTCACGGACTGAACGCAGAAATCTGCCGATGGACTATATCTCTTGATGCTGTCTAGAATGTATTGTTGTAACCAGTAAGGGTAAACGACTGATCTGATAGAGAATTACGTATCGATCAGCATATGACTTGTTATGAAATGCTTTTTGAAACTTGTACACATTTTTTTCTCGAAAAACTGAGCATAAAAGTGCTTTTTCTGAAAGTCTAATGCTTTTTACGGATACAGAAGACTATTAGTGTGAGAGAAGATGTACGAAACTATTGTAAGCAGTCAAAATTCATCACGATGTATTGATCATATTTTATCAACTTATTCTCATTTCAAGTTATATTATCAAAATGGAATTAGATAATTGTTTATCAGTTAATGCAGAGATGAGCGAAGTATTCGAAATAATCGTATTCGTATTCGAGTATCGGGCCCTCTAAAAAGATTGAGGATGGATAAATCAGTTTTACGATCTCAAAATATTTTAGGTTTTTTTTTTAAATCAATTCGTTGGCAACTTCTAATAGCATTGCAATGTCTCTCGATCAAGTTTTCAAGTCACACGTCTAAACCCTATGAGGATCATTGCACGATGAAGACGACAAATTCTGTTCAATTGATGTCATCAATTTCAATGAGATTAGGTCTATATTAGAGACACCCTAAAGTAAAAAATGCCGATAACTATTGCTGGGTCCATGCATGGTACAGAGGCGGCGGGGCCATTAGGCTTGGGGAGGCTCGAGCCTCCCCTAAAAATAGTAAGGGGAGGCTTGGAGAGGCTCAAATATTTCAAAACATTTTACAAATATAATCCGACGTTTATGCATTCTTAGTAAGAGTTCTTTGTATAAGAATTGCTTCGTGTTTTT